TGGGGAGAGCGGGAGCTTCAACTTGGGCGAGATCGGCCGCGTGAGGCAGCGCCTCGGGGCAAAGGGCGCAGCGCCTCAGTGCCGCACACGAGTCGGCTCCAAATTAATGCTTTTATCCACTTTCTTGACGTTTTCCAGGAAACGCCGCTGAGGAACAGCCCCAGCCCTCCCAACAGCACTGGCGGCACGATTGACAGCGATAGCTGGGATCCCCGGTTCAATGACATCCCCTCTTCCGTTTCCCTGCCCGCCAAGAACAGAAAGAACTTCAGTCAGCTTAAGCGAGCGAAACCGTACGGTTCCCTGTTCCAGCGGGCAAAACCCGGCAACTTCCTGCCGGAGCGAAAGCAAATCGATAAGATCAGGAAGAAGAAAAAGCTGAAGAGGAGGGAAACGGAGGTGTCTGCAGAGGAGGACTACGAGGAGAAGCTGCTGGAGCTGGAGGCGGAGGACTCGTACGTAGAGACGCCGATGAGCCCCTCGTCTGAGGGCGACCCTCAGTCTGCGACCGAGCACTGCTCGGTGTGGGACTCTGACACGCCTTCCAGCGTCTCCTACCCTGCCGTGACGGCCGAGCAGACAGTGGAGATCCAGAGCGTGGGCAAACGAACGGTCATTCGGCAGGGCAAGCAGGTGGTCTTTCGGGATGAGGACGGCACCGGCGACGACGAAGACATCATGGTGGATTCGGGTAGGTGGCCTGGCTGTCGAAAGAGGATTAGCCGGGTGGAAACGGTAGTGCTGCTGCTGATCTCTTTGGTACTTCACTAGTAGCATGAGGATAACACCAAGGTGCGCTGCCTGGGCAGAATCAAGTAGCAGTTGGGTTTTTGGAGGGAAGGGGGGGGTTGGCTGGCTGCTTTTGCAATAAACTGAGTGAAAAGCTGCGACTTTACAGAAGCAGCCGGTTCCCCTCTCCTGGATTATGGCCTCTCACGTACTGCTGAGAGTCTCTTCCACGCAAGAGAGACTAGTTTCTCTTAAGACGTGGAAAAATCAGCAAAGTGCCTGTCTTTGAAACCCAGGTAGTTAATTTAGTGTGAAAGGAGAGTAAATTCCTGGTGCAGGTGAGAGACGTTGTCCGTTAAAAACGTAGCTTGCCATTTCTCTTTGCAGATGACGATTCGTGGGACCTAGTCACTTGCTTCTGCATGAAGCCTTTCGCTGGGCGGCCGATGATTGAGTGTAACGAGTGCCACACCTGGATCCACCTCTCCTGCGCTAAAATCCGCAAGTCGAACGTCCCAGAGGTCTACATATGCCAGAAGTGCCGGGACTCCAAGTTTGACATTCGCCGTTCAAACCGCTCCCGGACGGGCTCGCGCAGGCGCTTTCTGGACTAGGGGAGGGAGGCGCGTGCTGGTGCGCTGCTTGGGCGGGCGGGTGAGCGAGCCGCGGATGCCGGCCAGGAGGCCGGGGAGAGCTCCCCCGAACTGCTGCTGCTCAGGCTGAAGGGCTGCCCGGCTGGCCTGCGCTAACAGGGACGAGGAATCGCCAAGTCGTGGGCAGCTGGGGCTGGAAGAGGCTGACTGGACAAAACCGCTGCTAGATACCGATTAGCTCAAGGGACAGACTAAGCTCTCTGGGTTCGGTGGGGTTTTGTCCGGTTACAACTATGAATTGGGTGATGTCTGGGGAATGTATAATACCTTTGCCACGTATGTTTTCTCATCCCATCAGGAAACTGCAAACCTTCTCTGTGCTAGGAAACTCCTCCTCCTCCAAAGGAGGAGGAGGAAATCTGTGTGAAAAGTCTGAAAAGTAAATGGCCATGTGTTTTAATTTTAATGTAATATTATACCTGCCCATTTGTCCGTATATATCAATCTTAGATATTCTAAGGCTCCATAGGAGTGAGCATCAATGCGTACTGACCTCTGCGCGATCTGCCTCCTCTTCAGCTGGCCCAGGCAGTAGGGGAGTTCTGTGATTTGGCATCGTTCAAGTGAAAATGGGACTTCTTCCTGCGCCGAGGCACCGGCGCATTTAAAGGAAGAGAGCAGCCCTTTTTCTGGACAGGCAGCGCTGGGGATTAGCGACATCGGATTTCTTCCTAGAAGGTCTCTTACGGTGATTTTTTGTGACTTTGTTTTGCATGATCGGCTCAAATGTGTGTATGGGGGGATACCGTTTGCTCTGTTTCCCGGCCCTTCGTTAAACTCTAAGGTGCTGTTTTAAGAAGACAATGACTCGCCCTTTTCTCAGCCCAGAATTCAAACGTGGACTGTAAAAAGGGCTGTAGTAAACTTAGAACCTGGCAGGTCTGGTTTGGGATATGATCATTTCCATCCGAGTACTACAGCTGAGTTGACTTGTTTTCGCTGTTTGTTTTTTGAGACTGGATTTGTAATCAAAAAACCAGAATCTTTAACCTATTGGTTGCAAATTATACAGATAAAAGCAAATGCAGGCTATGCAGCTAGCAAGATGAAGTGCAATGAAGATCCATCTGGTGCAGGGGAGGACAGGAGAGTGCCGAGGCCGACGCTGCAGTCCTTTGATGGGACTTCTGGGGCCTCAGCCCGAGGGAAGCCTGTTCAGAAACACGACAAGGAGTTGAGGCTCATACGCCAGGCCACCGAGAAGGCGGCGTTGTTCCTCAATGACCAAACAGAGCGGGCCATATGTATCGCACAAATTCTGTTTACGTTTCAAGGTGTTTCTCTGAAGTTATGCCTGATGAACAATGTGTGCTCTGTCTGGTGAGACCATGAGGCAAGGGGAGTCACGCCGAGGCGAGACTAGCCGTACTGGTAGGAATGGGTCCGCGTTAGTCCTGCAGATACACCGCGTTAGACCACCGCCTTATCCGACTACGGCTCATCAGGAGATGCGTCCTGGTGATGACCCACAGGTCTTTCCAGCACATAGAGACAGGTACCCTCCTTCAGATATCTGACATGGGGCTGCCAAAGCTTCAGGCAGACAGTCCAGCACTGCAGCGCGCTGGGGCTCCGCTGCGTGGGACGCAGGGGTGTGAAAGGTCTGCCGGCCCGGGTCAGGATGACGGAGCTGCACAACGGTGCAACTGTTCTTCAGTCCTGCTTCTTTATAAAAACCCTGTTCCACCGAGCTGCAGCAACTGACTCTGGGTTCTGAAAACCAGCTCCAGCTTCTGTAAAATCTTAACACCATGACCGTGGTATGCTGCCTTCCAGAAGCTATGTGGAACCACCGAGGAGTTTGCCAAAGACTTGCCCCCAACGGCTGCCTGACTGTTCTTTGCAGCCAGAAAAATAACCAAAGTTCTCAAATGCTGCCATTTCACTCTGCAAACAGAAAGGCTTTGGAAGATCCCGCTCGCAAGCTGCGTAAGGGCTGGACCTGCTCTGAAAATTGGTATCTCTGTGTTTACAGCGTGTCTGCAATTCAACTGGACCTCCGTGGAACACATTCCTGAAGCTTTTATGGGAGAAATGGCGAACTGCCAAGCGAACTGCCTCTTTTTCACAGAGGTTCGATACTAATCAATGTGACTGACTCTTGTTCTGTACCTTTTCAGATTTATCTCAATAGATGGTGTCTGACAAGTCCAGCACGTTACAATATCAGCAGAGAGAAAAAGAAAAAAAAAAGTAACATCTCCATTCTTTTAGTTCATCACTTTCAGCCATGTATAATTATAGTTTAATTCAGAACTTTATTTTTTCATTAAAACTGTTTTAATGAACCATGTTTTTTTCTTAAATGTGAAACAAGTGAACAATGATTTTGTTTTATTCTGAACTCGGGAGTCTGCTGTTATGATTTACTGGTGTGTAAAGCGGTTGTGCCAGGTGGCAGCAAGACTTGATGCTTTGAGTACTCTTCCCTAAATGATACACAAAGTCAGGTACGGATAAGAAGTGCTGCAAACATATATTTCATGTGCTGACAGGTATCCCCACCTCTCTTTGTAGCAGTTGCTCCTTGCCCAGCCTCTGCTGTCAGTAAGGTAAATTGTGGTGGAGCCCCGTCGCTGGTACAGGGACAAGCACGGGGCAGGGTGGAGCGATGGGAGGCAGGCAATGCCTGCTGCTGCAGGAGCCCAGAATGGCTGAAGGCAGCCGGGGCACTGACAGGGACCCGCCGAAAGGCGTGAAGGCTGGCACGAGCCTGTGGGGAGAGGGCTTGGGTCAGGATGCCTACGGCGTCAGCAGCGTGCAGTCCTAGCAGGGGGCCTTTGTGGAGAGCGCCTGAAAGGCAGGCTTAGCGTGTAGAAGCTGGGTGTGGGGCAGGGCAGATCACGCCAGGTGAGACTGCTGGTGACCCCATGCCTGTCCCACTTGCCTGAGAGCCAGGTCCCTGTGGGACCGGGCACTGCAGCCTCAGAAACAGACCTTGGGCTGTGCTGCAACTGCCTCACAAAGACTGGCCTGCTCAGCCAGACCCAGACCAAAACCCCTTTAAACCCTCTGAGAGCTGTGCTGAATGAGAGCTCCTTCCCTCCCACCCCTGCTGCACTGCAGGGCAGGACTGAGGACCCCAAACCACTGAAGGGATGCTGGTGCCTTGGTGCCACCCCTCAGCCACAACCTTGAAGGCACTGCTGCTCAGCCAGCTGCGTTCAAAGCAGCAGCCTTAACACCTTGGCAAACTTAAAAGATGGCTCAACTCTTTGGAAATGGCACTGGGTCATATTAGAAGCTAAGCTCTGGTTGCTTATAGCTTCTATTTTAATTCTATTTGTAATTTTGTATTACATAGAGGGATAAACAGAAGTCCCAGAGGAGTTGTAGCTGTAAAACGGCAGCTTCTCACGGAGCAGAAACAGTGGTGTTGAAAGTAGCAGTTTCTCAAGCGGGGCTATTCTTACAGTCTCTTTAAAACTTTGCACTGATAGAAAATAAGGAAGAGAGGAGGAGGTGGGCTGGAG